TCACGTTTCCACCCTCAGAGGCTTTCCATTGTAGCAAGTCAGTTGCATGGCTACTTTGATTATATTACAGCATACATTATCAAGGCCAGATATCAGCTTAAGCAGATTGGGATATAAACGTGCACTGTTCGGGTGGCTTGTCAATATAAAATAAGGATTTGTTTATTTAACAATCAATTCCAGTATATTTTTCTATCCAAGTTTTCAGCCTCTTATCATGGCGCCTTTGAATTTCTTCACTCTGTACCCTAGAATGTATATATCGATTTCATTAGCCAAACATGTTGTTACCCAAATATCACTAGATGCTATATTTTTTGACCAATATGTAAAGCAAAATAACAATTTGCGTCATTGGTGAAACCCAGCGTAATCACTGTTACTGATTTCATTTCTGGTTGTTGCCATATAAATATTGCCTGCAAACTGGAAATCAATAGACTTTGACAAAATACATTTACAAATTTATATAAGTATTTTGGGTTAAACAGAACAATGATGAAGATTTCAAAGAAATTCAGAACTGTGCTAAAGTTGCTAGAACGGATAGTTTGGATGCGACTGTTGCCAAGTGCTTGAAAATATGTGATGTCTGGATTAGTGGGGACTGCAACTTTTGCTGGTGGGACTGCAACTTCTGTTGGTAGTACTCCTATTTTTACCAAATTAAGAGTCATGGACTCATAGTTTTAAAATCCTAGTGAGATCTCTGTTTACACAATAAAATTATTTATTTGAAAAAAAACTTCTTTATTCTGATCATCGATTGGATTAGGACTCGTATGTTTGGATTTGGACTTAATGTTTTTTGCTACGATGAGTCAAATGACTTACATGAAGCCATTTGTAGATTTAACACTGGTTGTCTAAAACACTGACCTCAGACCTCAAGAGCAATAGAATACTTACATTTTTATTACATTATTTAGCAATGCATGTTTGACAGCTATGATTACATTATTTAGTAATGCATGTTTGACAGCTATGATTACATTATTTAGTAATGCATGTTTGACAGCTATGATTACATTATTTAGTAATGCATGTTTGACAGCTATGATTACATTATTTAGCAATGCATGTTTGACAGCTATGATTACATTATTTAGCAATGCATGTTTGACAGCTATGATTACATTATTTAGCAATGCATGTTTGACAGCTATGATTACATTATTTAGCAATGCATGTTTGACATCTAAGATTACATTATTTAGCAATGCATGTTTGGCAGCTATGATTAAATTATTTAGCAATGCATGTTTGACAGCTATGATTACATTATTTAGCAATGCATGTTTGACAGTTATGACACAGAATGTATGTATAGCATAGAAAGAGTTAGTACAAACATGAAAGAAACATGTTGATCCTTAGAAATCACTATTACCAAGAATACTCAGTGTGGTATATAGTTCTTTGTTGGATTCAACATTTATGATTAGTGACTTTGCTTTGCAATCAAAATATGTCAAAATTGTGGCACAATAGTGAGAACTGTCTGTAGATTGTTTAAAACAGTAACATTGATTTTTTAAAATTAAACTGATAATTATATATGAAAACCACATTAATTTAATGTATATTTACCTTAGACTTTTGTGTGCTATATTATGTGGAAGACAGACTCTTCAATAATAATTCTGTTTTCTGAATAATTGGTCTTTTTAATATTTAATAATAATATAATGAATGCATAAATAATCTAGATCAATGTAACTTTTTTTTCAAAACAAATATGAACAATAATAAGAGAAAACAACACTATAACTTTTCCTTGATAAAGTTTAAATGTATTTGGTAGGGTGTGTATCCACATCCATGACCCTACACAATAAAGAGAATACAAAATTTCAGCTTAAAATAAATAGCTGGATTCCACTTTAATGTTCTGTCAGCACAGACATAGTGTCCAGATTCTTATCATAGCATCAGTTCTTGATCATAAAACTGGCTTAATTAATTCAGGTAGAGTGTGTAGTTGAATGTGCTGTTCAAAATACATGTATGTAGTCATTCGTCATACCACTGGGGTACTTAATACAGCTAAATTGTATTGTTTAACTTCATGTTAATGGTATGTACTCTTTCATCATACTACTGGTTTACTATAAATAGTTTTTCTCCTATATGTGACAATGCTTTTTATGTTACATCTCCATCTCAAGTCAAAACTTTATTATATACTTCACATTTAAATGGTTTTTCTGCAGTAAGTATCATCATATGGCTTGATAGATATCCATCCTGACTAAAAATGTTACTACATACTTCACATTTGAATGCTTTTATCCTGACTATACCACCTTTTACATATTTAACATTTGCATTATTTTCTCCAGTATTTATCATCATGTGTTGATGCAGAGATCTATTTTCATTTAACTTTTAAGCACATTTCACATGATACTGGTTTTTCTGCAATATGCATTTTCATATGCAAAGTTTGCTTTCCACCCTGACTATGTTACATTCAGGATACTGAAATGTTTTCTCCAAAATGTAATATCATGTGTTTTTTCAAATCTCCAATCTGAATAAAACTTTCAGTACATATTTCACACATAAATTGTTTTTCTGCAGTATGCATTCTCATGTGCAATATTAGCTGTCCACCCTGACTAAACATTCTATTGCATACTTCACACTTAAATGTTTTTTCTATATTATGTATAATCATGTGTTTTTTCAAATCTCCAATCTGGCTAAACCTTTCAGCACATATTTCACACTTAAAAGAGTTTTTTCTAGCATGTATCCTCATGTGATCATTCAGAGTGCCTCTTCGAGTAAAACTTTTACCACATAATTCACACTTAAATGGTTTTTCTCCAGTGTGTGTCCTCATGTGAATCTTTACATGTTCAACTCGAGTCAGCATTTTATTGCATACTTCACAATTAAATAGTTTCTCTCCAGTATGAATCATCATGTGACTCTTCAGATTTCCATTTTGACTAAACTTTTTATCACATACATCACACTTAAATGGTTTTTCTCCAGTATGTATCATCATGTGATTATTGAGAGATTTATTGCAAGTAAAACTTTTACAACACACTTCACATTTATATGGTTTTTCTCCAGTATGTATCCTAATGTGTTCCATCAGATTTCCTCTTTGAGTAAAACTTTTACCACATAATTCACACTTAAATGGTTTTTCTCCAGTGTGCATCCTTATGTGAATCTTTGCATGTTCCGCATGAGTCACCCTTTTCTTACAAACTTCATCACACTTAAATAGTTTCTGTCCAGTATGTACTCTCATGTGAATATTCATACATCCTTTTTGACTAAACTGCTTATCACATACATTACACTTAAATGGTTTCTCTCCAGTATGTATCACCATGTGACTGTTCAGATATCCTTTTTGACTAAACTGCTTATCACATACATCACACTTAAATGGTTTCTCTCCAGTATGTATCACCATGTGACTGTTCAGATATCCTTTTTGACTAAACTGCTTATCACATACATCACACTTAAATGGTTTCTCACCAGTATGTATCACCATGTGACTGTTCAGATATCCTTTTTGACTAAACTGCTTATAACATACATCACACTTAAATGGTTTTTCTCCAGTATGTATCCTTATGTGCTTATTTCGATCTCCACTGTGACTAAACATTTTATCACATACTTCACACTTAAATAGTTTCTCTCCAGTGCGTACATTCGCGTGCTTAATCAGATTTCCACTGTGACTAAACATTTTCTCATATAGTTCACACTTAAATTGCTCTTTTTCAAATCTTCAGTTACAGAACTTTAATCAATACAGCATCACACATTAAAGGTTAATTTTTTTTTATCCTGCATGTTCCATCTTGTTTTTATTCAGATTCAATCTTAGGATAAAAATATAGTTACATACTTCGTACTTAAATGAATCCTTTCAAACTCTGATATGATGTGTTCATTTTTGTCATGATTTGGCCCATCAGGAAAACTTGCGACACAATCTTCATATTTATATGGTTTCCTCGGGTTAGTATAAAACTCGTAAAGGATTTCTTGCAAAAACGGTAGTTTTAGTTTTTCTAGAAGTAGTTTTAATGGTTATTAGATCTGTCAATATTGGTATTTGAATGTGTATCCTATATAAATTTCAATAAACAAAGTTTAACAAGAATAATATAAAGACAAAAAATAATTTTGACCAGTATTTTATTGTTCAGTACATAAGAAGTACTTAAAAAGGACTTCTAAACTTCACAAGACAGGAAAAGGAATCTTGATTTATCAATAAAACACTTTCTAGGAATAATTTTTATTTTATGGTATTAACAACTGTTAAAAGAAAAATACTGACGAACGTTTAACATATTAAATATATCTTAAAAACTTCTAAGTTTAATTTGTATTAATTGAGCGAGAAGTTTGCAATCTGATTGGTTATAAATGGTCACTGTTGAATAAAATTGAAGTAGCGTAAATTGACACAGAGCTTAGTAGATTCATTCAGTTTCTCATTGTAGTCATACGACTGATGCCTATAACTAGCATATGATGGAATGTGTAGGATATACACGATGACCTAATAAAAGTTGTATTGCTCTGAAAACAACTTCCGGTTTTATCTGCCTGTGCAGCAGCTGACTGGTATGTCCACTACTAGTGGACAATATATCAACAGTCACCTGATCATGATATGTCACTTCCTGCACATCGTTAACGTCTGCGGACTCTCTTGTTTCCCATTTTCCCCTGTTATTTTATTTTTAGCAGAAAGTAGTACACCTAACTTGTGATCATGTTTGTTTTTTTAAACGTAGCTTTAGCAATTTTTTAGTCATATTGCTACGATGTATTTACTGTAGCAGTTTATAGCCATGTCTAGCACTGGGGCATCATACCGCAGACATGTTTTATGATGTCCCTCCCAGTCAGATTATCAGGACAACAGGCCGAACAGTCCTAACACTAACCTCTTATTGCTGAGCGCCAAGCGAGGAAGCCTTTTGTACGATTTTTGTTAGTCTTTAGTATGACTCGACCGGGATTTGAACCCACGACCTTCCGCAAACGAGGCGGACCATCTAACCACTTGGCCACCGAGCGGTCTGCGCATAACTTAGAGAATTTGATCCACAAGCGGTTATTAATGGTCCGTCATCACACCACGAGCAGGAGATGTATCTAAATATAGACACGATTTTGCTAATGAAAGATGAAGCTGCATAGGAAGCAATAACAGCGAATGTTTAAACAACACGCCAAATAATGCAGGCGTAATATTTATAAAAAAAAGAATAGCGTAGTTTAAACAAGAAAAACAGCAAGTAATTTAAATAATCCATTGAAGTTTTGGAGATCATTTGACATGACCTGTTGTAATACTTTCCCCCCTAATGCCGTACAAGAGTCAATAACGCCTGTTAACAAAGATAGATCCATGTATTCACGTGCAGAAAAGAGCCTAAAGATCATTTACCGATACAATTTTTAGCTGGCCAAACATATCCCATAGTCGCATCCGGTATTAACTTGTCCATTTGACGTATGGAAACTCGAGTGACCTACACTTTTTACATGAATGTAACATTTGTCATTATATATCGCAGCAGATAGTAGTAAACAGCAATATGCTATCCCACAAGTATTTGAGTTGAACTGTACGTTTTCATCAAGTATTTTTTTAAAACAATACTTTTTGGTAGGTCCACCCTAGTTTTCTAACAGTTTAGCTTATTTTTTTGGACAGTCTTTTTGGAAATGCCCTAATTCTCCGCAATAGTAAGAAGATCATCCCTTCATTCCGTTTTTTTTTTTTTTCCGGAAGATGTTGTCTTCAAACACTATAGTAATGTCTTGAATTCCGCAACGTCTCTCTTAAGTTCCTAGATATCACTTAACCCTGCATCAGACATTGTCACGGTTCGTGCATATCTTCCTAAATCCTTTCGCTTAAGTTCGGCTCCATTAAAGGCTTCGAGTTCTATACCAATCTGAATTGCTTCATCAAGGGTTTTAGGGCGTGTCTATTATATTCGTTACCTAAGTTCGCTGTCGGTTAAGTAATCGATAAATTGCTATATCGACAGTGTTTCGAGTAATTCTTCAGGCGCTTTGGGATATGTTTGGGAAGCGAGTCAAAGTATCGTTTGTCCCAATTCTGGGAGTGTTTCATGCTCATTTATAAAACGGCTTTTCAGTTGTACTCTATAAATTTCTGTTTTTGTTTTTTTTGTGGCGCGATTCGTCTTTCTAGCAAATCCACGAGCCTGATATATATATATATATATATATATATATATATATATATATATATATATATATATATATATATATATATATATATATATATATGCAGTGTAACATATATGCTATATATATATATATATGTTGTATAACATCTTTCAACTGGGAATACCTGCGGTAACAGCTGGACGATATGTATAGAGATGTATGTATACTTCTGTAAATCCGCAGAGATTACGTAATGGAAATAATGAATTGTTATAGAAATCCCCAGCTATAATAGAAAATTACGTAATGGAAACTTCAGATGTAATGGAAAGATTAGGTAAATGAAATTTCAACTGTTTAGAAAAATTACGTAAAAAAAAATCAGCATCGGTAATGGATAAATTATGGAATGCAAATCCGCATCTGTTTTTCAAAAAATTACGTAATGGAAATTCCAACTGTAATAGTAATCCTCAACTGTTTTAGAAAAAATACTTAATGAAATTTTAAGCAATTACGTATTGAAAAATCCCAAAGAACATTCTGGAAAAATTGGTGTGGATGTTTTAATGTGTGTGTGTGTGCGCGCGCGCGCGTGTGTGTGTGTGTGTGTGTTCTAATGCTATGAAAAGCGGCCAGATTCTTGTTTGTAGTCATTTCTGTGGATATAATCGCTGGATTATAAAGACGATAGGTGTGAAATATTTAACCACATTTAAAACTTTCTTGAATTTGGTATAGAGTGGTGATGGCTAGTTATTTTACTTTCCAAGAGAGCCACAAGGTTGTCGTATTATAACTACATTTTATTGTAGCTGTTTTCATATTTGTTTACTCCCACTGGCATATCTATTAACATGCTGTCATTAATACGAAACTCACGTAATAAGTAATCCATGTCATAATGTACGTCTCGCAAATAAGATCATATTTAACAAAATAATTTATAATGAGCGATACTATTAATAGTATCAAGTGTTTGAGTTTCTAGTCAAACGACAAAATTGTTTTGTCATAAGTCTTGGTTCAGTTTTCTTAGAAACTGTTGAAAGACAAACATCAACAGCTGATAGTATTAATAAAAACGGATTTAATGATGCCACACTCATCATTATACTAGAACTGGTCATACCAATTGCAAACATGTTATTACTCGAACTATTCTTCTATAATACTTACAACATGTTTAACACACCAGATAATTTTATGATAAAATTTTTTAATATTGCATTAGTGCCTCAAAATCTTGTTTTTTTAATATCTTCTGAAATATTGAAATTGATAATCTGTTTTGTATTAAACATTTTTCAATACATGAACAAAAGTCCTAATGCTAACGAGCGAATCAAGAAACTAACGTAACTTATTACTGCTAAAACAAATAATTTTACTTGTCATAAACATCTGACGAGGTATCACCATGTCGTTTATTTGTTAGTCCCTCAGCTTGAGTTGAGGTAGAGGTTTCCAAAGACCTCAACGACCTCTATATACAGACAAATTAAGCACAAAAAAGACTTCGCATGTCTTTCTATATGTGGTGTTACTTTTGAAACAAGGGAATGGAGGGAAATTCCACGACGTTAGCAGTTGCTACTGGAGCGAATTGATATGAATATTTAGTGCGTGTAGCTGGAAAGTGTATGTGCGTTATGGTTCAGTAAGTATTATCAAAGAAATATAATTTATTATAAAAATTTGTTTCTTATTCGAAAAATATTACCAGATCCTAAATACCTGAAGAATATAGGTATGAGGTTAAAAGTGATACATCCCTATGTTCTAGATAATCTGACAGGTAAACGGAATCCATATAGCGGAGAGCATCTTTAAGAAGGGAAGGTCATAAAGTCGCCTCCTTACGATGCTAACACTGCACCCATAGCTACAGGTCCAGCAGGATGAGTTGAGTCTTTATGTTTAAAGATCTCTGCAATAAAATGTGAGAAGTGCGTACTTGGATCCAAGGTATGTAAAATAGCACACCAGTTTAATTCATATACAATGTTTTAACGAACATGGGACTGTTGGACATTTTTAAGTGGGGGACTGGGTTTGTAATGTGGAATTATCTCACATTTTCTGCCCCCAACCATTATAATTTCATTAATAACATAAATTTAAAAAAAAAAAAAGATTTTTTATATGAATGCCATGTTAGGTTTTGTAAGGAGTTCTATCTAGTGGGAACAGAAACACTGGTCAACTGATGAAGAGATTCAAAGACTGCATCAAAGACAGCCTGAGATGCTACTCAGTATGTGTAACAGACCACAAATCATGCACCAAGGATAGACATGGGTGATATGCAGCAGTTTGTAATGTGCGCAAAACATTCGATAATGCCCTTAGAATGCAAAAGCATTGATGCCAGAGAATGCAGGAAAGCCTCAATATCAAGAATTAACCCATGCCTCCAGTACACACACTTCTCCAAGACATGTGCATCTCATATCGGACTCATCATTCACATGAGGACCAATCAGCAAAGCACAGCACAGGATTGACTTCAATGACCCTTGATGGCCAACCAATGATGATTATATATATATATATATATATATATATATATATATATATATATATATATATATATATATATATATATATATATATATACAGAGAATTAGATAAACAGTTTTATTGATATATATTTTTATTACATACAATGTACTCTTTAAATAGTTTGTTATGCCTGATATATTATTAAAGAATGTTCAATATTCCATCAGAACTCAAACTATATAATAAAAGTTATGAGCTGCATAATACATATAATAATATAATAAAGATGTATTGTATAAATAATTAATCAAAATGTATTGAAAACTTTATAATAATGCCTCTTCATTATAAGTAAATTGGTAAACTTATTTTTATGATATTAATTTATGCCCTCCCTGGTTTTATGGAAATTAGAATAATATAAAAACATTCTTAAATAATTATAAAAGTAGGACATATTTCAAACATAAATCCTGCACATAGTTTAAAGAATATAAACACATTATATAAAAAGAAAATAATGAATGTAGTACAGAGTTGTGGAATTCAGATCTCTTGGATATAGCAAATTAAGACGGTGAATCCAATAAGCTTCCTTTAATAGACATTAGGTTGAAAGGAAAAATATTGCAAAGTATGGGAGCTGTTGCTAAAATGTTCAGGAACATGAGATGAAAATGATTGATCGATATAATTTTTGTTGTCTGATCTACACTGGTTCATGCATTTAGATATTTTTTGCTGGTTTGTCCAATATATTGGATGCCACATTTTTCTTGCACATAATCAAACAAATAACATTGGACATGCACAATTGGTATCACAATGTATTTTAAAAGTTTCTTTCATATTAGTACTATTGAAAGAAGAAATTTTCATTAATGAAAGAACAGTGTGAACATCTAGGTCTACTACATTTAGCTGATGATCCTTCTGTTATGATGTTTCTCTTGTTTAGAATTAATTAGGACATGTTTAAGGTTTTTTGTCCTTTTATTAGTAAGTATAAGTTTGCTTTTGTGTAGCAATTTAACACTTGCATTATATTATAACTTTTATAAATCCCAATATCTATTGATAATTTTACCAATAACCAGTAAACATAGATTATATACAATCACAAAAGTAATATTTTCATTTCTTTTCTTTTGATTTTTCATTATATTCATATTACCATGTCAATTATTTGTTAAAGATTCAAACAAATTTTTAGCTATTACATCAAATTGTTTATGTCGTGTTGTTTACATCATTGATCACTTGGAAACAGAATATATTTAATGATGTAAGCAATGATATTGAAGTCAGTCTGATGAAGCAATAAAGCTAAACCAGTCACACATTCTATGTGTTGGTGTTTTTTATATTAT